AGGTTGTATTAATTATTGTGATACCAGCCTGGAACAGAACATTTAATATGTCACATTCTGTGAAATAAATTTTGTTTTATAAATAGGATTTATTGTAGGACTGCCTTAATATCATTCATGTGACAATGACATCCACGTGGCAATAAACTCCAATTCTAAACAGATTCTAAAAAAACTCCAATTCTAAACAGATTCTTACTCGTGCCCAAACACACAGATCCAAGGGTTTCAAAATACCAAAACCACAACTCTTTGTGGTTCCAACTTCATGGAAAATGAAGATGCTGYTGAAGTAAAATGAACTTTTCCCAAATACCTAAACAGGGACAGCTTCAAAGGCAAAGAAGGGATGAAATCCCAGTGATGGGGACACAAAAATAAGTGAAACAAAACCTTTCAACCCCAGGAAGTCACAGCAGATCCAAGCAGGATGATTCCTTGCTCCAGCTTGTCCTCTACACGAGATTTTAAAATCTATTTTAGACAGTTTAATCTATTTAAAAATCCATTTAAAATCTATTTAAGACATTTCAGTTTTGAACTGCTGGGAAGGAGAAGTGGCCTCAGACATGAGATTTTAAAATTTATTTAAGATATTTTAGTTTGAACTGCTGGGAAGGACAAGTGGCCTCAGACATGAGATTTTAAAATTTATTTAAGACATTTCAGTTTTGAACTGCTGAAAAGAAGTGGTCTGAGATATGAGATTTTAAAATTTATTTAAGATATTTTAGTTTTGAACTACTGGGAAAGACCTCATCTTTAGCAGCTCTTTGAGCCAGCACACAAACCCTTTGGTGAGGAAATCCCAGCCCAGGCCTCAGCTCAGCTTTCCCCGTTATAAAATCATCAAAATTCAGCTTGGCCACCATGGAATCATCCAGAACTCGCTGTTCAGAGGTTCTTGAGGCAGCAGCTCCTGGGTATGTGAATCTCCAGCTGCTCTGAAATTCCTCAGTGACAACTCCAGAAAAAGCAGAGAGCACCAAACACCCTGGGAGAACTGAAATCCCTCACCAAACAAATCCATTTTTGCATTTTCTGTCTCACACAGACAGGAACTGCCTGAGCTCTGCCATTCTGCCATCACAGCCACGCCAATCCCTGTGAAAATGTTTCTGTGGAAACCAGAACATCCCCTGAGCTCTTCCTCACGTCTCCCTGCAGATGGGATTGATCACAGCACTTTGGGCCGTTTGCAGAAATGAAGCAAAGCTCTGCCCTGGGAAGGGCACAGGTTAAGWGAACAGACAAAAATAGAAGGGGAGAAAGGGCAGGATCAGCTGAGTCTCGAATGAAACGCCGGAGTTTCCTCTACAGATAAAGCAGAAATGGAATCCTGTTTGCTCCAATAAACCCAACAGCCGTGACCTGCACAYGCACAGGGGATAAATAACTCCGAGGAGGAAGCTCTATTTTCAGAGTCCCTYTTTGGGTGGCAGCCAGCCTTTGATGAATTGCAGCCACAGAGACATTTTCTTCCTTTTCCAAAACACAGCAGCCTCCTGCAAGGGCTGCTGAGACAATGAGCAGCTTCCTYTGKGCCTGCACAGCCCCCACTGGACCCTGGGATGCCAAAATCTGGCTGCTTAAAGCAGATCCTGGACAGAATTCGGAGAATAAATAAAAATTTTGTTTATTGAGAGGCCTTCAGGTGCACCCAGGGCAGTCCCAGCSCAGCCACAATGGACAATGGCTCACGGGTTTTTCACCCTTTCTCACTTTTGTCCATTTGCACATTGGGGCTGAATCCTCCAATTGCAGCTCAGCCAATGCAGTCATTGACTCCAAGTTGGCTCCCCCAATTCTCTGTTGTTTCCATCTCTTGGGGTCTGGCACAGTGAGGTGTCCTTGAGTTTGGGGCTGCAGAGGAATTGTTTTGTGTAAAAATGGGAGAGCTCAGCACTGTCTGTGGAGCCTGGAGTTAAACACTGAAGAATTACAGGATCACAGATTCATGAAAAATAGAGAAAAATATAAATATATGAAAAATAGAGAAGCTGAAATCCTAAAGCATCACCTGGGCCCTGCCTGGACTCCCAGGAATTACAGCAATCCCACAACACACCAAAAAAAAAAGCTGCTCCTCCACCCATCCTTCAAACAAACCCACAACAAACACAATGAGAGAGAGATCAGGGAAGCACCACTTTGGCCTTTCCACCCCAAATGCTGAGAGCAGAAGGAATTTTGTGCCACCAACCTTTGCATCTGCCCCTGTCTGATCCCTGCTGGGTGCTGGGTGTCCAGCAGGGGAGGTTTTTCTGCTGGGGAGGGCTCTTTGGGATCAGGGGCCTGGCTTTCCTCGTGGCTCCGCACCTGGATGCGCATCACCATCTTCACATCCTGCRGGGAAGGCAAATGGGGACACCTGAGGTACCAACACCCCCAAATCTGAGCAGGTTGCTGGGTCAGAAAATCTTTTCTCAAAGAATAAAGATCCAGAAGTGCTCCAGGATAAATCTACARTCCTGCCCACCCTGCAGGAGAGGASTCCTCCTTTAATGCAGCCGAAAAGGAATAATTCAGATCCAACACGACCCAAGAAAGAGGAACAACAAAATTACCTCTGAAAACCCCCACACGCTGACATTACTCTAATTACACTGCAATTATTGTCTTTTTTTAGAGATTTGTCATCCAGAACTCCCCCTCAATCACCCCAGGAGGCTGAGGGAGGCTGTTTTTATGAGTTGCTCTTGGCAAACTTGGCCGAAGAACCCTCGAGCCCCACTGTGAAACTCTCAGAGTGCACAGAGCCTGAAACCCGAGGCCAACAGAGCATCCCAAAAATCAGAATTGGGAGCTTCACAAGCTCAGAGTTGCACCAGAGGTGTACAGAACTGTCTTAGGTTCCATGGAAAGTGTAAMCAATCCAGTCTGAATCCTGAATTCCCATCTCCATGAGCTGTTAAACCAGGTTGGGGAGTGTTCTTTACCCTCAGCATGAGCCAGCCCTGATAACACCCTCAGGGGGCCATCTCTGCTCATGGGCCACCAAGGGCTCTGGGAATGACCCATGGAATTCCAGCATCCCATTGGAGATGCCCCAGCCTGAGAGGAGGAACTGGACACTGGGAATGACCCATGGAATTCCATCAAACCATTGGAAGATGCCCCAGCCTGAGAGGAGGAACTGGACATCCCTTCTGGCACATAAACTGAGGCTCTGGGACACTGGGACACTTCTTCTTCTGGATTTCCAGAGGAGAGGAGCTCCAAAACCACCCCTGGATCTCCAGAGATGGACTGGACCTGTCTGCAGGATCAAGGAGACCACACCCATAATTCCAACGGGACTGCATCCACCATTGAACATTGAACTTCACCGCTTTGGGGAGATCACACTCATAATTCCAACAGGACTGCAGCCACCATTGAACATTGACCCAGACCACACCCATAATTCCAGTAGGGCTGCAGCCACCATTTCACACTGAACTTCACCGCTTTGAGGAGATCACACCCATAATTCCAACGGGACTGCAGCCACCATTTAAAATTGAACTTCACATTTTGAGGAGACCACACCCATCACTCCAACGATACTGCAACCACCATTGAACATTGACCCAGACCACAACAATCACTCCAACGGGGCTGCAGCCACCATTGAATATTGACCCAGATCACAACAATCACTCCAACGGGGCTGCAGCCACCATTGAATATTGACCCAGATCACACCCAGACCACACCCATCACTCCAATGGGACTGCAGCCCAACAGGGTGTCAGGTTGTGTTCTAACTGTCAATTTAAGCTGTTGTTTCTGTATTACTGCCTCTATTTTAATTTTTCCTATTAAATTGTAGTTCTGATTTAGAACCTCTCACAATGTRTTTGTGTGGGGTGATTTCCCTGCTGGTTTGTTTCTCAAACCAGAACAAGAACTCACAGGATTGCTGTTGGGCAGGCTGTTCATGGTGCGGGTGAACCTGACCACGTGGCCGTCACCGTGGCGCGCTGGCCAGGCTGGCACGGCCTCTGGCAGAGAGTTGGCATCCTGGGCTGGGGCTGGCTGGGTGAAGGGCACCTCTGGCTGGAGCCTGGGGTCATCGTGGCTATCGTGGCTATCGTAGGGTCCCTGTCCCTGCAGCTGCGGAGCCATGGGCAGCACGGACGGCGGCGTGTTCCCGGCTGGGCGGTTCTCCTGGAAAATCTGCAGGGAAGAAGGAAGGAAAGAGCAAATTTTCAGGTTGGAGGGAGCTGGGATTGTTCTTTCAAAGCTTCTGGAGCCCTGCAGGATGCAGCTCCCTGGGTTTTTCTGGGAATACTGCACCTTCTGCCTGGCTGGCTGCAGCTGGCTGCTGGCTGGAGCCAGGGGCTGCTGCCCCTTCCCAGCTCCTCCTCCTCCTCCTCCTCCTCCTCCTCCTCCTCTCAAGCCTGGCATCTTCTGCAGAGCTTCCTTGAGCTGCCTGAACTCTTCCATCTGGGCCTGAGGGGATGAGAAGGACACAGAGAAACCTCACACGGGGTCAAACATCTCCCTGCTGGGAATGGCTGCTCCTGGTTGGTTGGGCACAGGCACGCTCTGAAGAAAAGCTGCATTTTACACACATGGAAGGCTGGAGAAAATGTACAACCATCCATGAGAAACTCAGCTTTCCCTCCAAATTTCTCTGCTCTGTTACCCAAAATGTGGAGAAGGCATCCTTTGTGCCCTGATGATTCCACACAGTGTGAGCCGGGCTATAAATAACCAATGCAAAATAGGCCACAAAAATTTTATTTTTCACACCTCCCTAACTGATGGACAAAGTCTACAAATGAGAGAGAAGTCACGGTCCCAGCACCATGGTGCATCGAGAAAAATGAAAAAATAAAGAACATATTTAATAATTTTCATGCATTTCTGGCAACAGGAACCATATTCTTACATCAGGTGATCATCAAAATCCCCACCCTTCTTACCCCGTTCTCCGCAAAGATTTGGAAGGGGACTTTTGCTGATAATCACTCAAACCTTCTGTCCTCTGTTTGCCTGATTTACCCRCCCCTCTTCCACCATCTGTTTTAATCYCTTGCTCACCCAGATCYGAGCTGTCTTTGCCCTTTTTGCCCCTTATTTTATTGTCCATTTTGACCCTGGAAATGCTGAGCTGTCGCTCTGATCCTTCTCCTGATGCTGCTCAGTGCAGGAACCATCGATTAACTCCAGAATTGGCACAGAAATCATCCCCTGGCTCTGAGCTGGACCTCCCTCTCCTCCTGGACCTCAATTTATTCTCTTCCAGAGGATGAATTTCCCCCTGGACCTGCTCATCCCAGCGGGGTTGATGATAATTGCCATAATCCTGCTCGACAATCCGATTTACTCGGTAAGACAAAGGAAAATCAAATCTCCTGGGCTGGGCAAGCAAATTCAATGCTCCCCATTTTTTTTCCTGCAGCTCCTCTCTTTCCTCTCCAACCCTGCAGAGGTTTCCTCCTGGAAAAGGAAGGCTTGGAAAAATCACTCAGGAAAAACTCCTGGTTTACACCCTGGTTATTTATAGGGGATTGAGGGGGAGATTTTTTCTGGAAAAGGATCAAATTAGGCGCTGGGCAGAGCAGGAAAACTTCCAAGCAGAGAGCAAAGTTTAGCAGGAAATAAATTCCTGAGCTGGCTCTGTTGGTTTCAGCTCCTCCCCCTGAAATTCGACCTTAAAACAAACACCAGAAACAAAACAAACCCCAAGGAAACCCCTCAGTAAAACAAATCTCAAAGGAATGAGAAAAAGGCAGCTGAGAAAAGTTCCTGGGATGTGAATTTGCAGGAAACTTCCAGCAGAATGAGCCAGATGGATGCAAAATTTGTTCCCATCAATTCCCCATCGCTGGGAAGCATTTGGGATGTGGGGAGAAGACAGGAGTCATCCCAGGATGGGGAATTTTGGGAATTTGTGCAGCAAATCTGTATTTTCAGCTGCTGGGACAGATCCCAGGCTGGAGAATTTCACAGAAATTAGATCCACACCACCACCACCACCTACCAGCACTGTTTTAGACACTCACCACACTGGGATTCATTATTTAGGGATTTTTTGGTGTGGATGCAGCCCCCAGGGGGTTACCTGGGCATTGAGGAGCTGTGAGTGAACCTCCTGGTGTGCTTTCCTCAGGAGCTTGCTCTCTTCTCTCAGTTTAAACACCGTGTCTGCAGGAGAAGGAAATTTTTGCTTCCAAGAGCTATTTTTGTCTGTTTAGCATCTCCCCTTTCTCACCACAAATTCCTCCTGAGCTCCYAAATCTCCCCAAGCCCGGGAATCACAAACCTGCTCAGCGTTCCAGTAAAATGTGCATTTCAGGAACAGACACAATCAAATATTTCAGTTTCACTTATTTGTCCTCAATTTTCCCCCTTTCTAACCCAAAAGCTCATCAGATATTACACCTGAGAAAAAAAAAAACCCAACACACACACGAGCAGATTTTGATGTTCCAGACTTCACAGATGCAAACCTTAAAAGCTCTAAAATGTAATTAAACAGCAGAATTAACAAAAAAAAAAAAAAAAAAAACCAAAAACAAAACAAAAAAAAAAAAACAAACAAACCACTTTTTGGGAATTAGAGGGATCAAAATTCTCTACGGCACTTTCACTATGAAATTGCATTTTACAGACTTGCACCACTCATCACCAAAAGGGAATTTTGTTTTGATCCCAAGCTCCAGTGTCAGAATTTGTGGGATTTATCCCTGCCCCACCACCTGAGCTCACCCAGAATTGCTCCTGGCTGTGCTGCCAGATATTTTTAGATCCCTTCCGCAGTATTTTTCCCCTCTCCTGATACCATCCTCCCCCAGCCTGATATTTTTTGGGATTTTCACCCCTCTCACCCTGCAGGTTGGCCACCTCACTGTCCTTCTCCTGCTGCAGCTGTGCCAACCTCTGCCCGTGGCTCTCCAGGCTCTTGCGGTGCTCCAGCTTGAGGCTGTTGTGCTGCAGCTGCAGGTCCAGCAGCTGCTTCTTGACATCGTCGTGCTGGTTCTGGACACGAGGAGAAGGGAATCAACACAAGGAATCTTTATTTTTCTTTATTTTCCTATTGGATTTTGTGATCTGACAAACGTGACATCCTCATCTCATTTCTTTGTTCCGTCTCTGGGACCTTTACCTCTGCCCTGTCTCTATTTTTGGAGCCCAGCTCCATCTCTTTTCATGCAGAATTATTGCTTCAGGCAGAACACTGGAAAAAACTTCATTTTCCAGGGGATAAACT